GTGTGTGTGTGTGTGTGTGTGTGTGTCATATAGATATATAGTATATAGGAGTATATAGTATATATATATATATATATATATATAAGGGGATGAGTGTGCTTGAGCAGCCCGTTTGCACCTATTTGGAAACAAACCGGGACCGAAATATACTTACGGATGTTTCAAGACGAAGAATCGAATGCTCCTTGCAGTGAGTTTATTTTGCCGGCCGGCAGTGTGTCTGTCTGAGTTGTGTTAGGCTGAGTGTAGTCTTCGTTATTGAAGCTAATATACGTTGTACTTATTCGGTATATGCGAGGTGTTGGGTTTCCGTAAACGTAAACACGGCGGTTGATTCATATACACGATAGGGGCTGTTGCACCAGTTGGCTGTGTGTGTTTAGGGTTTAGGGTTTTATAGCGGGGACAACGGTATTTAACAATCCACAGGTCAACTACACACCGAGCCAAGCAAGTGTAAGTCATCGCATGACGAACGGAATTGCTTGTAGTGATCACACAGTGTGTAAAACGTACGCGTATACGTATCTGCTCTGCGACAGGGACACTACTGCCAACTGCATCTCTACATAACTACATGTATAACGCACCCACTCGCCCAATGTCTGATACATATCCACCTCTATACCTACATGTATAACACGCACACTCACCAAATGTCTAATACTTACCTATCTTTATACCTACATGTATAACATGCACACTTACCCGATGTCTAATGCATATCTACTTCCATACCTACATGTATACACGCCCACTCACCCAATTTCTAATATTTACCTACCTTTATACCTACATATAATTTATCCACTCACCCAATGTCTATTATGTCTAATACTTACCTTCATCCATACCTACATTGTTTCTATTTGGTACAGATCAAAGGCAGCTACCCTCTAGTAGACGATCTCAGGAATATGCGATTATACGGTGCCGTTTCGCGCGAGAGTTTAGAAGTTGCGCTTTACGGCTTCTCCAGCACAATCTTCTCCGCGGACCGGATGAAAGGGTGCGAACCCCCGCCTCCGGTACGTTTCTGGATTCTGTGAGAGTATAAGTATACATTTACGTAAACTGATGGTGTTGTGTATATTCAGTTTGGGGGTCGTTGATTTCGTTTTCCCTTGCACGTTCTTTACCACGGTTTGGATTAAGGTGAGTGGAAGTCAGATACCGGTTCGTTCCCTCAAACATATATTACAGGACGTACACATTCGATTTTATTTATATATATATATTACTATATTATTATAATATTATTTATATTGTTGTATTATTATATTATATTATTACATATTTTTTATTATTGTATTATATGTATTATATATATGAATGTATGTATGTATGTATATATGAATATATACATATCTTATATATATATATATGGATGTGGGTGTGGGTGTGGGTGGGGGTGGGGGGTGGTATGTATGTATGTATGTATTTATGTATGTATATATATATGTGTGTGTGTGTGTGTGTGTGTGTGTGTAGTTACCTTATGCATATCCGGCGTTAGGGCAATATCATATTCCATATATTTGCTATTGTAGGTAGGTTCACCTTCACTTATCATTATTATCATATATGTGCTACTGTAGGTAGGTTCTCCTTCACTTATTTTTATTACCATATATGTGCTGCTGTAGGTAGGTTCACCTTCACCTATTCTTATTATCATATATGTGCTACTGTAGGTAGGTTCACCTTGTGCCTCACCCGCCTTAAGGCGGAGTCATCGGCGGAATAGTCCTTCCGCTCACAGCCAATCGCTGACCGCTGCTTTAGACGAAGAAGATCTGAGTGGCAATATATTTGACTTAGGAATTACGGAGGAAGATATTAAGGTCATGGAGAGGCATTTCTTGGACGTATTTACTAGTA